GCCCCTTGGCCCAGGATGGTGGGCCTGGCCAGTATCGGTGCACTGTTGGTCCGCGCGGCATCGGCGCGCAAAGGTTTTTGACACCATGGGAAATCTGCAATCCATCGGGTTCCTCGGGACATCCATAGGATTTCGCAGGAAATCTAGACGATTCTGGAGAACACCCATCGGATTCCTTGGGTAATCCACAGGATTGAGTCGATCGCGGCCCATATCGTTCCAAGGTTGAATTTCATCCAGTCCAGCGGCGTCACCGTGTCCCTCGGTGCTTCCGCGTCGCTGAATGCAACCTTGAACGCCCTCGGCGGCGTCGCCAGCGCGCCATCGCCGCACGAACCTACCGTAGTTCTCGCCGCCCGACTGGCTCAGGGGGGGAACACCGACCTGGCATCGCGGCAATAAGTCGCCGCGAGATCCGCGATAGGCCCCCTGTAGCGAAGCCGAACGCACGCTCCCTGGCGGGGCCATCGGGGCCCTGTCGGTGATGAACGGGCATTTGGATCGTCACTCGGACCGGCGGCCGTTCGGGGTGTTCTGGGCTCCCCGGGAACCGCCGCTGGAGAGCACCTCGAGGCTGGAAAACCGCTGAGGAACGACAGAAACATCCGAAAACCTCAAAACCTCAACAAACATCAGAAACGCCGCCCTCCTGAGCCGACATCCTGACATCACACGGACCCGAGATCCTCGAACCTCGAACCCGAAATTCTGACATAGGACGTCAAGACAAAGCGCAAGATCGCGAACAACACTGAAACGGAACCCTGGACCCCATCATTCTGCTGCCTTTTTGCGGGCCGGGTCGATCCGTGAGGGTCCCGGGGCCCGAGACAAGGTAGAACCGCCGCTTTTGAAAAGTATTCGACGCCAGACTCTCAGGGAACCTCGACCCCCAACTGCATGCTGACCCCCCTCGTCCTCCTCCTCCTCCTCCTCCTCCTCCTCCTCCTCCTCCTCCTCGTCGTCGCTCTCTTCCTCCCCTCTTCCCTCTCCTCTCTTCTTCCTCCTCCTCCTCTCCTCTCACCTCCTCTCCTCATCATCCTCCTCCCTCCCCCCCCTACTACTTCCTCCCCTCCTGCCGCCTCCTCCCAATCCTCCGCCCTCCTTAATCCCCTCCTCCAGTCCTCCTCCTCTCCACCTCTCTCCTCCGCCTACTTCCCCTCCCCTCCCCTACTACCTCTGCTCCTCCTCCTCCTCCCCTCCTCCTCCTCCTCCTCCTCCCCTCCTCCTCCTGCGTTCCTCTGCTGTTCCTCGCTGCTCACCCTGCTGCTCTCCTCCTCCTCCTCCATCCTCCTCCTCTCCTTCCTCTCCCCTCCTCATCCTCCTCCTCCCCCATTCCCCCTCCTCGCGCACCTGATGGCTGAGCCGGGCCCCCGATGCGGTCGGCGCCTGCCGGGCCGGGCCCGGCGCCCGCGCCGGCGGCCTCGAAGGCGCGCCGCAGAAGGTCGGCGGAGAGCAGGCCCCGCGAGCCCTCCTGCGGGTGAGCGCGCGGAGGAAGAGGAGGAGGAGGAGGAGGAGGAGGAGGAGGAGGAGGAGGAGGAGGAGGAGGAGGAGGAAGAGGAGGAGGAGGAACCCAGCGTAGGGGGGCAGGAGGAGGAGGAGGAGGAGGAGGAGGAGGAGGAGGAGGAGGAGGAGGAGGCGGGGGACCACGACATATCGAATCTGTGCCGACGCTACTGCGCCAAGCACCTCCTCGAAATACGAGCGCCCTGGGGGCCTGCAGTTCAGGGGGAGATCCTTTGCGCCGCTTCCACTGCGCTTCTTTCTGGTGTGCAGGAGAGCCTGTGGGGACCACTGCTGGGGGGCGCGCAAATGTGGATCAGCGATCCTGTTCCTGCACCTCCCCAGAAGTTCGGGGAGGCCCTGGCGAGACCTTCGGAGGCTCCCCAGGGCATCCACCCCTGAAGTATATTGTACCCGCCGCTCGGCAAGCGGCGCCCGGCGCCCAGCCAATCTGCCGTAACATGCGGCGTCCCTCTCCCCCTTGATGGGAAGCGCAAGACTTGTCACTACACCGACCTGGCAGACGCGCTGCAGCGGATTGTCGCGTGGGTTTCGGAGTGGATTTTTCCCCGAAGCGGCGATCGAAAAACGAAGTGAATGTCGCGCGGATTTCTGTTTAGTCTTCATTTCTGGCAAAACAAAAAGACGCACGAAATTCACCTCGATACCCGGAACGAAATCCTCCAGGACACTCTGGGCACATCCTATCGTTTTCAGAATGAAGTCCACTCTGCGATGGTGGCGCCATGAGACTGGGCGGCGCGCAACTCAGGACTCAGGAGGCAGGCTACTGGGAGGTCTTCCTCGGAAAGGGCACCCTTTTTTTTTCATCCGGCTTGATCTGGCTTGATCACACTTAAGCCGGCTTGCTCCCAATGCGGCGCAGCAGCCCCCCGGTGGGGCTGAAGTCTCCCTGCTCCGAGATCCGACGTCGCAAACAAAATGCGACATCGCAGAGTAACGCGACCAGAGCCCCTGACCCCATCTTTCCGCGCCACTCTTCGATCGGAAGCAGCCAAGAAGGGGGTGTCCAAGAGGGAGGGGGGGGGGGGGGGGGGGGGCAAATCGTGACCGGCGGCACGTGCGCGGCCCAGCAGGGGGGCCAGGGACGTAATGAAATAAGAAGAGGCGCCATGAAATCTGGGGAAATATCATGGCCCACGCCATGATATCCACCCCCCCTAGTCATCACCCCCCTTTTTGCCGCCCCCGATTCGAGCTTGATCGATCCGTGAGGGTCCCAGGGCCCGAACTCGAGCGAAGACGCCCGCTGCGAAAAAAACTGCAACGCCAGGACCTTCGGGACTCGGGAGGTCTGTGGAGGCCAGCCGGGGCTGCCTGGGGGTGCTGTCTGTGCGCAGCCCGGAGCCCTGCCAGAACGCGGCATCGGACGTCGCGTTTCCCTCAAAATCCGCCTGTAGGGGGGGGGGCATGCCCGACCTGATATATCCTTCTGTGCTTTCTCAGCCTCGAGCCTCTTGGCCTCGAGTCCCTTGAAGAAGTTCGCAGCAGACTCGGCGCTCTCGTAGGGGGAGGTGCTAAGCTTCTCGCGAGAGCTCGGGGCCTCCGAAGGCGAGCTCGCCAGACCCCAGAGGCTCAACAAGCTCGTCTGCTTCGTCGGCGCGGTCATCGGAGTCTCGCTGCAAAGCTGCAATGGCTCGAAGCACAAGTCCTCGAGCCAACGTGGCCCAGAGGCAGCTGTCCTGGGAGGTCTTCGTCGGAAGGGCGAGGGCGAGCTAAGCCTCGCTGGGGGGCTGCTGCGCCAGATCCTGCCGCGGAGCAGGCGGGACTCGGGCGGACTGAACGGGATCGCGCCGGACTGAACGGGATTTCGCAATATTGCATCGGATTCCGAAACAAGGCAAACCCTCGCCCTCATTCTTCCAGATCTTCCGCGCTGACCTTCCACAATCATGCGCTTCGTGAAATGCTTAGTTTTCTTGCGTTTCCTGAGGCTTTCAATAGTGTCAATGCATCACCTTCCGCGCCTTCCGCAGAGGTCGGAAGGTATGGAAGATGGAGGTGGAAGGAAGCCAGATTGCATCGGATTTCGCAACAGGGCAACGTCAGAATCTGGCCTCCCAGGAGTTGCATCCGAGGTTGACCGAACCGAACTTCTTGGGACGGGCCTGGTCCAGGCAGGGCCCCGCTTGGTATCCCCAAGCCCAGACTCCCTCGGATCATGAACAAATCACGGCGTAAGGTTTTCCATTATTTTCGGCCTCTTGGGGCATTCGCCCGGCTTCGGGACCGTCAGAAAACGACTCGGGATGGAAAAACAGTCCCGGGAAATGGGTCGAGACCCCTGGCGGTCGGCGCTTTGAAAAAACATGACGTCGGGGGCCTGGGAAATGCAATCCGGGAGAACCCTGGGACGGCTAAATCGGGCGTTGTTCAAGTTTCTGGGGCAGACCGTACTTTGGGAAAGCTCGAGTTGAGCGCAATCAAGGGGCATCTCTGGCGCGAGCGCGGGCGGCCTGAATCAGGAGTCATCCCTGACCCACCCCCTGCCCCAGGTGCGTCGGTGTCCCTCCACCTCCATCTTCCATACCTTCCGACCTCTGCGGAAGGCGTGGAAGGTAATGCATTGAAACTCTTGGAAGCCTCAGGAAACGCAAGAAAACTGAGCATTTCACGAAGCGCATGATCGTGGAAGGTCAGCACGGAAGGTCTGGAAGAATGAGGGCGAGGGTTTCGGGTTACAGCTCGGCTCTCTGGCGGCCATGCGGGACGGCCCTGGCACCCAGGGGAGCGCCCTCGGAGAGGCGCAGAGCTGCCGGGAAGCACCACGAGGCTCGCAGACCGCAGAGGACCGACGAGATCGCCCGGAAACCGCGGAGAAACGACGAACAACCGCCCGAACCTCGGGGTCCCCTCGCCCTCATTCTTCCAGACCTTCCGTGCTGACCTTCCACGATCCTGCGCTTCGTGAAATGCTTAGTTTTCTTGCGTTTCCTGAGGCTTCCAAGAGTTTCAATGCATCACCTTTCGCGCCTTCCGCAGAGGTCGGAAGGTATGGAAGATGGAGGTGGAGGGTCGGGTGAGCCACCGTTCCCTCCCTTGGGCGTGGCTTCTACTGAGTACCGCCGCGAACGCGACAGGACGACGAGAGCGCCGGAAAACCTCGGACGTCAAGCCGGCTCCCCCCCCCCCCCCGGGCGCCGAGGGCGCTTCAACACGAATGCTGACAGGTCTCCTGGACCCCTCCCAGCTGGGGCGCGCGCGCGCGCGAAAACCGCTTTGTCGTATCAAATTTCGGGGTCGTGCTCTCTGCCGCGCTAGCCCCGAAAAGTGCCGCCCCGCGGAAGAAGTTCACCCCCGCAGGAAGAGTTCGACCCGCAAGAGGAGTTCTCGCCCCTGTAGGGGGCCACATGCGAACCCTACCCCTACCCCCCACGATTTCCGAGGGGGAGGGTGGGGTTCACTTCGCTCGGTAGCTCCCCAAGCGAAGTGAACCCCACCCTCCCCCTCGGAAATCGTGGGTGGTAGGGGTAGGGTTCGCATGTGGCCCCCTACCCTGGAGTCTCGTGGCAGGGGCAAGCCGACGCAGGACCCCGCAGGCCGGGCCTGCGCCATCCCCCGGCGAGGAGAACAGTGTTACCATGTTGGGAGCAGAGGAGACGCCAGCGTTGCCGAAGTCGCGTTCGCCCTTCCCTCCACCTCCATCGTCCATACCTTCCGACCTCTGCGGAAGGCGCGGAAGGTGATGCTTTGAAGCTATTGAAAGCCTCAGGAAACGCAAGAAAACTACGCATTTCACGAAGCGCATGATTGTGGGAGGTCAGCGCGGAAGATCTGGAAGAATGAGGGCGAGGGTTGGAGCAGCTCCAGTCGACGGAGGCCAAGGCGAAGCAGGCGGCTACGAACGCGCACAAGCTTCTTTCGGAGATCGGCAACTTGGAGAGGCGCCTCCAGAAGGCGCGAGAGGACTACGACCAGGCCATGGAGGAGCTCGTGGACGCGGAGGAGGCCCACGAGGCGGCGGTTCTGGCCTACAACAAGCATCGCTCCCCGACTGCACCTGAGCCCAAGCAAGCGAGCTCAGAACCTTGGGAGGATGAGGGGTTGAGCAATAGCCTCTGGATGCAATGAACGATACCTTCGGCCGCCTACGGGTACTGTGGGTTTCCTATAACGGGTTTCTTGATAAACGTGGGAGGGTACCCCCCCCGAGGGTGGTCAACCTCGCCTCGTCGTCGCGCCGCGACGGGGGTCGACGTAGGGCCGTCAGCGGGGATGACGCACTCCCTGACGCTTGTCAAAAACTCCGAGTCCTGATATCATCATTCCTCCCAAACCCCGCCCTCCCAACCTCATTTAGGACACCGAACTCTATACACCGCCGCTGTTTCCGGCCCTGCACTGAAATTGGCACAGGAAAGCGGATCCTGGTGTATATGGGATCCTGGTGTATACATGTTTCGCAGTTTCCTCGGGAAACGGAAACAAAAAGTATACACCACACCACCCCGACGTCGTCCCCGACCCTCGAAAAGTCCTTAGATGAAAAAGCAGCCGGCCACTGGTGATGTATATGTTGCAGTTTCCGATCATTGCCTTCCTGGCCTAGGGGCCAGCCGACGTATCATGATCAACGTCACCGCCATCATGATCACCATCATCATCATCGTCACTGTCATCAGCATCATCATCAACATCATCATCATCATCATCATCATCATCATCATCATCATCATCATCGTCATCGTCATCATCATCATCATCATCATCATCATCATCATCATCATCATCATCATCATCATCATTCATCATCATCAGCATCAGCATCATCATCATCATCATCATCATCATCATCATCATCATCATCATCATCATCATCATCATCATCATCATCATCATCATCCTCATCATCATCATCATCATCATCATCATCATCATCATCATCATCATCATCTCATCATCATCATCATCATCATCATCATCATTCATCATCATCATTTCATCATCATCATCATCATCATCATCTCATCATCATCATCATCTCATCATCATCATCATCATCATCATCATCATCATCATCATCATCATCATCATCAGCATCAGCATCAGCATCATCATCATCATCATCATCATCATCATCATCATCATCATCATCATCATCATCATCAGCATCATCATCATCATCATCATCATCATCATCATCGTCATCGTCGTCGTCGTCGTCGTCATCATCATCATCATCATCATCATCATCATCATCATCATCATCATCATCATCATCATCATCATCATCATCATCATCATCATCGTTATCATCATCATCACAACTTACCTTCCCCGGGGAAAACTTCTACTATCCCCGCCAGAACTCCGAACTTTCTTATCCTCAGGGTACTATTCTCGCGCGCAGTCGGGGGTCCTCATTCCTCCCAAACCCCGTCCTCCCGACCCGACCGTTGCCTTCCTGGCCCAGGGGCCAGCCGACGCGGGCTCTGGGAGGCCAGCCCCCCCCCGGCCTTCCCCCGCCCCCCCCCCTTTTTGGGAAACTCCCAGTCATGATACCCTCATTCCTCCCAAGCCCCGTCCTCCCAACCCGACCATTGCCTTCCTGGCACAGGGGCCAGGGACGTACTGAAGCAAGGAGAGGCGCCATGAAACCTGGGGAGATAGCATGGCCCCCGCCATGATATCCACCGCCCCCTGGTCATCACCCCAATCCTTGCCGCCCCCGACCAACCCCGTCCTCCCAACCCGACCCTTGCCTTCCTGGCCCAGGGGCCAGCCGACGCGGGCTCTGGGAGGCCCCCCCCCCCCGGCCTTCCCGCCCCCCCCCCCCCCCGCTTGAGCAGGGACCGACCGCCCCGGCATTCCTATAGTCCTACTACGACATGTTCCTGGAACCCAAAAATGTTCTAACAACAAAAACAATGTTCTTAGAACATAAGCCTCATGCGTTGAAACAAGACAGTCCCAGCCAGAAATGTCCGAAAAACAAAAAACGCTGTTCTTAGAACAGAAGACTCATGCGCTAAAGCAAGACCGTCCCAGTCAGAAACGTTCTAAGAACAGTTCGTGCAAACCACAAACAGTTGTTAGACCATTGTTTGGTAGGGCTATAGGCGAGCCAGGACGCTCCGCCACTGCTTGAATGAGGGGCTGAGCAAGAGCCTCTGGATGCAACGAGCGATACCTTCGGCCGCCTGCGGGTGCTGTGGGTTTCCTCTAGTGTGATGTCGGGCGTGTCCCCCTACAGGGGGATTTTCGACGAAAAATTACAAATACCCCAAAACTACCCCAAGAAGGTCAAAACATACTCCAGAAATAGTCCCCAGACTATTTCTGGACTATTATTTGACTATGTTTAGGGTATGTTTTATATTTCGTCGAAAATCCCCCTTAATGATAGGGGGACAGGCCCGACTTAATGATAAGCGTGGGGGGGTATACCCCCCCGAGGGTGGTCAACCTCGCCTCGTCGTCGCGCCGCGACCGGGGGTCGACGTGGGGCCCGCCGGGGCGCTTCGCCGCTGCTTTGAGGCCCGCGGGGAGCGCGCGCGCGCCCCCTGGCTCCTCCGGGTGTGCGCGCAGGTAGGCGCGCTCGCACAGGCCCATGGCGGCGGCCACCTCTCGGAGGGCGGAAGGGGCCGCCCTCCGGGGAGGAGGCGTCGGTGCGTAGGCAGAGGCCTCCCACCCTCGCCCTCCTTCCTCCAGACCTTCCGTGCTGCCCTTCCACACTCTTGCGCTTCGTGGAGCGCTGAGTTTTCTTGCGTTCCCCGAGGCTTGCAATAGCTTCAATGCATCACCTTCCGCGCCTTCCGCAGAGGTCGAAAGGCATGGAAGATGGAGGTGCAGGGTAGCTTGAGGGGGCCCAGGACACGCAAACCAAAATAGACACAGATCCCAGGATTCCCGACATCTGACCATAATTTCACGACGTTCGTCTCCCCCCCATTTTCCCGTATGTTCCCGCATTTGCTTGGAAGTCGGCATTCAATTGTGTCTTTGTGTTTTTCCACCTCCTGGTAGATGGGGCCCGAGTACATGGGGTCGACGGCGCTCGCCGCATCGGCGATGCATCGCCGATGCACTGGCGACGTCGGCGATGCGTCGGCCACGTCGGCGTGGAGAAGATCGATCCCCACATCGAGCCGCATCGCCGATATCGCCGACGCATCGCCGATGCATCGGCGATGCGGCGCGATCCTCCGACCCCATCTACTCCGACCCCACTCCGACCCCATCAACTCCGACCCCATCTTGGAGTAAGGGATCGAGGGTCTGAAAGCCAGTGGAACGCCAATCGAGGCTTGGCCATGGATATCAACGCCACTCGGATCAGAGAAGGCATCTTCCCCAGGGTGTGGAGTCCCCACCGCACCCTGATCAGGAATCGGCCATGGAAGGGCTGCTTGGCGAACGCCGGGGTCTGTCCGCTTATAGAGACACACACGGTTTGGTGGCCGGTGGGGCCTCCTCCGAAGAGCAGAGATGAAGGGGCCCTGGGACACACAAATAAATACACACAAATAAAAGGATTCCTCATATTTTCTAGGTTTTTGTCTTCCCCCCCACTTCCCATATTTTTCTATCTGTTCCTGGGAGTGGACGATTAATTGTGTCTGTGTGCTTTTCTCCCTCCTGAAGAGAGCCCGAGGGCTCGGCCCTTCCCATGGAGGCCGACCACGGCCCCAAGGGTCCCGTCGTGACTTCTTCCCGACGCGGCCCTGCCTGGGAGCACCAGTCCTCGAAGGTCGGTGCGGATTCCTTATGGCTCGGCGCCGAGGAAGGCCGAAAACGGCCCCAAGGGTCCCGGCGTGACTTCTTCCCGACGCGGTCCTGCCTGGGAGCCTCAGTCCTCGAAGGTCGGTGCGGATGCCTTACGGCTCGGCGCCGAGGAGCCTCCTTGGCGGCGCCTCCGCTGTTTCCTCCGGGCGGCGCCTGTGACGCCCCCGGAGGCCGATCACGGCCAGAAGTGTCCCGTCGTGACTTCTTCCCGACGCGGCCCTGCCTGGGAGCATCAGTCCTCGGAGGTCCGTCGGGTTCCTTGTGGCTTGGCGCCGAGGCCCCGCCCATTGTCGGCGCTTCCGCCGGATCCTCCAGGCGGCGCCTCCCCGAGCCAACCCCGGGCGCCCTCTGGTTGCCAGGCAGGGGGGTCCAGCGCCGATCCAAGAAGTGGGCGCGGGGCTGCGATCAGGTCGGGCATGTCCTTCTCCAGGCGGATTCTGGAAGATAAGCTCCAAATGGTCGAACACATATTCAGACACACTCAACCATGGTCAGAGGTAGTCACATCAAAGCATCGTGCAGAAAGTAGGTCTTCACAAGTTGTTGGCACTCCTCCTGTAGAGGGACACGCCCGACTGAAGGCTACGAAGCCGTATCCCCATGTAGCTGTGATACCTCCTCCGCTCTCCCCCGCAGCAGAGGTCCCCGCAGCTGCCCCAGGAATCACTAGTCCGTCGCCTCGGGGCCCAGAGGCTGCCCCCCCCCCGCGGGCCCGAGTCGATGCAACATTCAGCTGGAAGCTTCTGCCCATGGTTGCTCCCTTGATCCTGAAATGTTTCGTCTCCTTGTCCTCCTCCTCCTCCTCCTCCTCCTCCTCCTCCTCCTCCTCCTCCTCCTCCTCCTATTCCTCTTCCTCCTGCTCCTCCTCCTCCTCCTGCTCTTCTTCGACTGGAGGTCCGACGTCACGAAACAAAAAGTGCAGCATCGTAGAACATCGACGGGGGCCCTGGACCTTGGCTTTCTGCGACAAACGTTTCTGGCTGGATCGGTCCATGAGGGGCCCAGGGCGCGAAGTAGGACATAATCGCTCATTGTGAAAAATGCGACGCCAGGATCTCAGGGTCGACTCCCTGGATGTCCCGCCCTGAACTCCATCTTTCTCCGCTGCTTTTGTCTACCTCCATCCATACGTCAGGGTCCCGGTGCCCGAAGCTGGGCAACATCGCCAGTGGCGGGAACATGTGCGAAGCCAGCATCTCCAGGGATCTGGCGGGTCCTGGAAACCCTGAGCCCACACATGTTGTCATCTTTCTGACTACCTACCAGACCACCCCAACCCAACCCGAAGACCCGAATTTCGGGTTGGGGGGGGGGTAAGGGTTCCCCACGTGTTTTTGTCGATGTTTCCCGACCCCCCCCCCCACTGGAAATCGAGGGCAAATCTGAGCCTTAGGAGGAGGAGGAGGAGGAGGAGGAGGAGAGGAGGAGGGAGGAGGAGGAGGAGGAGGAGGAGAGGAGGAGGAGGGGGGAGGAGGAGGAGGAGGAGGAGGAGGAGGAGGAGGAGGAGGCGGCGCACAATTTACTTCAGCCACCCTCGCCCGGCCCTCCGCCGACTTCCGCCCAAGGAACCACCCGCGCTCTGCCTCCGCCGCCTCCCGCCGAGCAGAGGGCACCAACTCCTTCGACGCTCGAAGGCAAGGCCTCCTCTGGAATGCCCGGAGGAGGAGGAGGAGGAGGAGGAGGAGGAGGAGGAGGAGGAGGAGGAGGAGGAGACAAACGAAATGGATATGGAGAAGGTGGCAAAAGACGCTCAGGAGGAGGAGGGAGGTGGTATTCTGACCCGGGACGCCCCCCAGGACCCCGCCCACACCTCCTGGGCTGAGCTGCCCCGATACGCAGCGCGCAACACGTAGCGTTTGGATACGGAGCTCAAGGCGTAGGCTGAAAACGCAGGCATGACGCGATGCGCCCGTCAAAACGTGGGCCAATACGCTGAGCCAGCACACAGCGTGTCAACACGGACGGTACGAGTTGCGTTTCAAAACGGGCGCATCGAGGCAGCTAACGGAAGAAGAACACACAAAACCGTAAACAGAAACTCTTGGCGCTCCGCGCGGACTTTTTGGATCTGCGCTGGACCCCCTCCCTGGCGCGCGGAGCGCGCCAGGGAGGCGGGGGGGGGGGCCCAAGGCGCGGATCCAAGACATCTGCGCGGAGCGCAACATTTTTATGTCTATGGCGCTCTGCCGCCTTCGAGCCGAGCTCCTCGAGGCGCCCGCCTTCCCCGACCCTCCCTGGGGCACCTCGCCCTACGCTCTTCGAGCCGAGCTCCCAGAGGCGCCCTCCCCGACCCTCCCCCGGGCACCTCGCCCTGCGCCAGGCAGCCCTCCACCACCGTCGCGTACATGGAGGTGCGGGCGCCGCCGGCGGCGCCGCCCTCCCGGTCGAGCAGGTCCAGGACGACCACCGCCCGGTCGACGTCGCGGGCCTTGACGCAGCAGGTCACGAGGCAGGACCTGAGGGGAGAGTACCACCACCCAGCGCGCGCGAAAAAGAATACGACGGGAGGTTGCAGGCAGTTTCTGGAAGCTCTCGTGGGATCCTGGAGGTGTTCTCGCCTCGGGATGAGACCCAGCGGCTGCGCCTTGCCGAGAGCATTCAGGAGATGCTATAGTTATCCCGAACGGCCGCCAGAGGCCCGAGTTATGAACCTGAAACCACTAACCAGAAAAACACGACTGCAGGGTTTCGATCATGTTCGGCCTCTGGGACCCCTCGCCGAGCCCTAGAGACGTCAGAAAAGATTCGGGATGAAAAGCCGGTTCTGGGGAAAAGGTCGAGACCTCTGGGGGTCTACGTTTTGACCAAATCATCGGCTTCTGGATGCGCAGCAAAATGAGGAGACCCGCGCGTATTTTTCTGGGATCGACCACTTCTTGGCGCGCGGAGCGCGACAGGGGCGGCGCCGCAGGCGCCGTCAGCGCCGATACCAGAAATCCGCGCGCACCTCGGACAAATTGTGCCTATGTCGTCTTTTCGTCTTCGAGCATCCCTGGGGGCAGCACAAAAGCTTCGGACAGCATCCCTGGGGGCAGCACAAAAGCATCCCTGCGCGCGAACCTCGCACAAAAGCTTCGGACAGCATCCCCGGGGGTAGCGTGGCAGGGCTCGCTGCTGGACGGCCTCGGGGGTCCGAGAGCTGCCCCCCCGTGGGGCCGCACTCGACGGAGCGCAGGAGGCGCTGCCGGGGGGGGGCCCGGCGCCGATCCAGGAGACTCGCGCGGACTTCCGAGAGTGTATGCTTGTGCCGAACTTTTTTTTTGAACTGCTTGCGATGTGCCGAACTGCGATTCCTCGACTTGATACCACGCCCCCGACTGCTCCGCGGAAAGCGGCCCCCGAGGGCGGAAACGGCCCCCGAGGGCGGAAACGTATGGCTCGCGTGTGTGTGTTTGCAACGCTTCTGCGTTGTGGCTCGCAAGCATGTGGGAAATTGAAAGGTACCGATACCGCTACCCCCCAGACCCCCCCTGGGGTGCGAACTGACCAGGATTTCGAGGCGACTCCAGCGGTGGCAACGAGGGCCTCCCAGGGAGCCCCAAAAGGGGAAACGTGCGCTTGAAGGGTAGCGGTATGGGTACCTTTCCCATTGCCCTTCTCTGATCATAGACATACATAGGGGCCTCCTAGATAGGGTCGGAGTAGATGGGGTCGGAGGATCGCGCCGAATCGCCGATACATCGGCGATGCTTCGGCGGTGCACTGGTGATGCACCAGCGATGCGCCGTCGAAGTCGGCGATGCATCGGCGACGTCGACGTGAAGCAAATCGGGCTGCACATCGAGCCGCACGGCCGCTGCATCGGCGATGCGGCGAGATCCTCCGACCCCACCTACTCCGACCCCATCGAGGCCTGTTATATATATATATATATATATATATATATATATATGTATACATGACTGTGAACTTTTCCGTTCCTCGAGAACCACACCATGCGGGTCGGCGCCACGCCGTGGAGCTCCCGCATCTCGCGCGCAACGAGGTGGCACGCGAGATCGAGGCGGCCAGCGCGCGAGAGCAGCTTCACCAGGATGGAGAACGTCACGGGGCTCGGCCGCACGTTCCTCGGGGGCAACGGAAGGGTAGGACAGCAAAGGGCAGGGTAGAGGATCAGTTATCCTGCCCCGACCTCACTGAATGCATGTCACCACAGCAGGACTGCGCCGCAGCGTGAGACGGAGTACCGAAAGGCGGCTGCCAACTCGCACACGACTGTGCGCAGAGTATGCAGATGAGCCTTGGCGCAGAAAGGTACATGCAATAAGCGAAGCAGTAGGAGGAGGAGGCGAGGAAGCAACAACAGGACCGGGGCGCGCGGCGCGTGCCTGAAGGGCAGGGTAGAGAAGCAGCTGACGTAACTGGTTTTCCTGGCGCCTCCTGGCGCCGGTAGGCGCCCAAGCCTCGAGGAATGGGCCCGGCGGCGGGGCGGAGACCAGCTGCATGCAGCAGATGTCGTACTCCCTAGACTTCCCCAGAGAGCCGACGTCGTGACTTTTTCAATACAGGGCCCCTGGAAGTCTCAGCCCATCCCCCATTCCCCAGGACCGGCTTTTCATCCCGAATCCTTCCTTGGCGGTCCCGAGGCCCGGCGAGGGTCCCTGGGGGCCGAAATTTGCGGAAACCTCCGTCTTGACGTTTTGTTCGATGCGTTGGATCTTGGGGTCCATGTCCCACCCTTTTGGGCGTGACTTAACGGGGGGGTCATAAGCGGGGGGTCAGAAACGGTCCCCTTTCGCGCCCCTTTCGGCCCCTTTCGGGCCCCTCCGGAGCCCCAGGGGGCTCGTTCAGGTACCGTTTGGGTACCTTTTCGGACCACCATCGCCACCCATCCGTTTACGATCCCCCCATTACGCGACGCCCAACCCTTCCGCCCCGTAAAACAGGGCTAGGATCGGGATAAATCGCTCCAGAGCGTTCCGGAGCGCTCTCAGAGCGTTCCGGACGCTCTGGAGCGGCCGCGGCGCCCAATACATCCTGGAAGCCCGCCGATTCTCAGAGATTTCGAGTTATCCCGATCCGATTTTGTCCCGATCTTCGCGTCGTTTTACCCCGCCCGAGCTCCGCTGCCGCATCTCGGTGAAGAGCCGCATGCCCAGCTGCAGGTCGCCGGCCTTCGGCGGGGGGGGCTCCCCCCCAAACTCTCTCCGGGGGCGCCCCGCTGCTCGGGCCAGGTCGGAGGTCGGGCTCCTCCTCCTCCTCCTCCTCGTCCTCCTCGTCCTCCTCGTCCTCCTCCTCCTCCTCCTCCTCCTCCTCCTCCTCCTCCTCCTCCTCCACCTCCTCCTCCTCCTCCTCCTCCCCTCTTCCTCCTGCTCCTCCTCCTCCTCCTCCCCCTCCTTCTCCTGCTGCTCCTCCTGCTGCTGCTCCTCCTCCTCCTCCTCCTCCTCCTCCTCCTCCTCCTCCCTTCCTCTTCCGGCTCCTCTGCTGTCGATTTCCGCGCTGCCTCTTCGTCGCCGCTGCTGCACTGCAGTGGAGGCCCGCCCAGGAGAAGCCCTCCAAAGAGACTCAACCCTGAGACCTCAGGAGGTCCGTCGATTTTTGGTGTGGGAGCGTCACGCTTGCTGTTGCAAAACCATCGAAACCCAAGAAACACAGGGCACCCTTGAATCTATGGCACCTATACTGCATTTCTCTTTCCCGTCCTCTCCCGATCTTTATATTGGGTGCATGGCGAAGAGCCCATGGGCCACCCGGGGGCTCCCGACAAAATGTTGCACCACCGAGATGTTTCGACCAGCCCAGACTGCACCCAATATCAAGATCGGGGGGGAACAAACCCTTATAGAACAGCGATGCGATTTCTTGTCCGCGCCAGGTGGCGCAACATTTCGTCGATGTGCCATACCTCGGCCCCCGGGGGCCCAAATGCATCCATATATCCCACGTCTGCCGAGGCGCCAGAAGATCGATGCCCCAGGCGGTGGTGATGGATACATCCCCGCCGCGGAATTTCTTCCCTCGGGGAAGACCCACCGATGATGTAAAAAACTTGCCACCTTCCCAACTGATTGGGGGGAACTCCACCATGCTCGTACAGGTCGGAACCAAGAAGGAAGAGCCCCGACTCCCGACGTCATGAATTTTTCATAACGTGGACCCCCAGCTGTTTCGACTCATTCCCCGGGACCGATTTTTTAACCCGAGTCGTCTTCTGATGGTTCCGAAGCCCTGCGAGGGCCCCCAGAGGCCAAGAATAGCGAAAAACCCTCCGTCATGATTTTTTCATTGCCCGAGAGGGCCTGGGAGGACGGAAGGAGGCAGCGAGGGAGGAGGAAGAGGACTGAACGCGTCTGCAGGTCCAGGCGCGGACGCGACGGCGCGAGAAGACATCCCCCGCACGCGACGTCCTGATCGGTTCCACGCGCGGGCTCCGGAAGCCCCGGCCCTTTCCCCGAGACCCGCTTCTCATCCAGAATCGTTGTTTGACGCTCCCGAGGCCTGGCGAGGAGGTCCCCCGGAGGCCGAAAATGACCCCCCCCCCGTCTTTGTTCCCTACCTAGGCTCTGCCTAGAAGGGTTCTTACCCTATATGCTTAAAGGGGCCGGGCAGTGGTCCTCGCCCCGGGCGGTTCCCCCAGGATCCGCCCCGCGGTTCCCCCAGTTACGTCTCCTTAGCTTAGCGTTGCTTATCTCATCTTAGCCTAGCTTAGCTTAGCTTAGCGTAGCCTAGCCTAGCTTAGCTTAGTTTAGCCTAGCTTAGCTCAGCTTAGCCTAGCCTAGCTTAGCTCAGCTCAGCTCAGCTTAGCGCAGCATTAGCATAGCATAGCATAGCATAGCATAGCATGCCATTGCATATCATAACATAGCGCAACAAAGCATAGCATAGTATATCATAGCATAGCGCAGCATAGCATAGCACATCATAGCATAGCATCGCATAGCGCAGCATAGCATCGCATAGCATAGCGCAGCATAGCATATCATAGCATAGCCTAGCATAGCATAGCGCAGCCTATCATAGCATAGCATAGCATAGCTCAGCATATCATAGCATATCATTGCATAGCGCAGCATAGCATGGTATCGCATAGTCTAGCATAACATAGCGCAGCCTAGCATACCCTAGCATAGCATAGCATAGCGCAGCATAGCATAGCATAGCATAGCATAGCCTAGCGAAGCATGGCATAGCATATCATAGCATCAAAGCAAAGGCAAAGCAACAGCAGCAACAGCAAAGCAAAGCACAAGCAACGCAAAGCAAAGCAAAGCAAAAGCAAAAGCAAAGCACAGGAAAGGCAACACAAAAGCAATGTGCGACAGGTGCCGAGCTAGCCTCGATTGCTGGACCGGAGCCCCCGCAAGCAGTGCTGAACAGCCTGCAGCTCTTGCAGGAGCCGCGAGCAGTGTTGAACCTAGTGCAAGCAGTGCTGAACAGCCTGCAGCACTTGCAGGAGCCGCCAGCAGTGCTGAACAGCCTGCTGTCGCTGGGTGCACAGCAAAGCAAGACAAAGCAAAGCGCAGCATAGCAAAACATGCGTGTGTGTGTGTGTCTGTGCGCAGGCAAAGCAAAAACAGAGTTAAGCAAAAGCAAAAACAAAAGCAAAGCAAAAGCACCGCAAGAAGCAAAAGCAAAAGCAAAGGCAAGGCAATGCAAAGCAAAAGCAAAACCAATGCGAAAGTGTATATGTAGATGTAGGAATGTGGATGAAGGTGTAGATGTAGATGTAGGTGTAGATGTAGGTGTAGATGTGGATGTGAGTCTCGCTGTTGATGTTGATGTAGATGTAGATGCAGGTGTAGATGTTCATGTAGCTGTCGGTGTAGATGTAGATGTTGCTTTCCTAGATGCTCCAACTCCTAGGTAGGATCGCACTGGGAGAATTTCATAGTTAAGTAAGAATGAAACATTAATATATTTTAATATGCGCCACGCCACCCCGACGTCGTCCACGACCCTCGAAAAGTCCTGGACTGGAAGGCAGCCCGCCACTAGGAATGTACTCCAAATCCCTTATTAAACGTCCCCCGGGTCCGGTTTTTCAGGCGCCTTTTTTGTAACTGGGGGGTTCCGGTACATTAAGGCGCTATCTTTGGATTGGAGCCTAGAGTGTCCGGTTTATCAAGGCGCCCCGCCGAAGAGGGGGGTCCGGAGTATTAGGTCGCACCTGGAAGAGGTGCGGTTTATTTTTTGGGGGGTCGATTAATAAGGGATTTGGAGTACACGTCGGTCGGAAGAAGTAGGTCGAAACATGAAGTAGGAAGGCGGATATGGTAGATTGGGCCCAGGTCCTCCCAGAGAATGACACGACACAGCAGAAGCAGGTCGACTCTTGAAGTAGGAAGGCGCTTGAAGTAGACTGGGATCTGGGGATCCAAGAATACCTACTTCCAACGACCGGCGCGTACTCCAGATTCCGTAATAAAGGGAGAGGGGTCTCATTTCGGGGGGGGTCTCTTCCAGGCTATCTTGGAGGGCCTGGGGGGGTCTGGGGACGATGTTTTGGAGGGTTCTCCCACGGGGGGGGGGTCTGAAATGGCTTGTCTTGGAGGGTCCAGACCCCCTCCCTTTTATTAGAAATCTGGAGTACATGTTCCAGCTTCCGAGTCTGGACCCTCGGCGCAGGCCGCGCCCCCCCCCCCCCCGCCTCGGCCGCGCGGGCCCCCCGGGGCAATCGCGAGCGGCGGGCGTGTCCGTCTCCGCGCCCGCGCGGTCTGCGGATACCGCGGTCGCGCGGATACGTTCCGCGCGGGGTGCCCGCGAACAGAACGCCCCCCTGTATTGAGCAGGGGCCAACCGTCCCGGCATGCTTATAGGCCTGCCACGAGGTGGTCTCAGAACCCCAAGCATGTTCTTAGAACCAAGGCACTGTTCTTCATGCGAAAAAAGCCGATGTGTTGAAACGAGACAGGCGCAGCCAGAAATGCTCTAAGAACATGTCGTGCAAACCACAAGCAGCTCTTAGACCACTCTTTGGTCGTAGGCGAGCCAGGACGCTTCGCCACTGCTGGACTATGCTTGCGAGGTCTCGGCAAGGGGGTGCGGCCGGCGCGGCCGCGGACACGGATCTGGCTCTCGCGAAGCGGTCGAGGGCCCATGGCGCCGACGCCAGGAGAGCGACGAACCAAAAAAACGAGTCCTGCGCACGATGGCGCAGCGACCATATCAAAGGCCAACAAAAATCATCATCATCATCATCATCATCATCATCATCATCATCATCATCATCATCATCATCATCATCATCATCATCATCATCATCATCATCATCATCATATCACATGCCAACAACATCCATCCCAATAATGACCACCCCGACACGCGAAGACGTTTAGAAAACGCGCCCAGAGAAGGAATCGAACAGGGCAGGGCTGTCTAGTCAACGCCCAGGGCCGCTTAGTAAACGCTCATTATCGGGTCCGGATGATTCTTCCTCCCTCGACTTACAGTCGGGGCGCTGACCTAAGGAACCCTTGATAAGGAACGAGGCCCCTTTTTTCCATAAGTTGAACTTCGATTTCCTATCGAAAACCTAAGGAAAACCTGAGGCAAGCTGTGAAACACTTAAGGAACGCGGAGCCACCCCCCCAACGAAAAGGGTTCCTTCTTCAGGGCCCCGGCTGTACCCAGTTACTTCCCCGGGCCGCCAGGAAGGCGTCAAGATCGCCCCAGGCAGCCCCACGATGACCCTAACTGGTTTCGAGACGGCCCACGAGGGGCCCAAGACGGCCCAGGAGTGCTGCCAGAAGGCCACGGGAGAGGGCCCCCCGAAGCGAGAATCGTCCCAGTCCCACTGGAAAATATAAATCTCTGGCATGCTCGCCTTCTTCGTCCCGACACCGTCACAGCCGGCCGCGGCCGCGCTGCATTGGAAACGAGGGCAGAAAACGACGCGAAGATCGGTACAACATCGGATCGGGATAACTCAAAATCTTTGAGAATCGGCGGGTTTGGAGGATGTATTGGGCGCCGCGGCCGCTCCAGAGCGTTCCGGAACGCTCTGAGAGCGCTCCGGAACGCTCTGGAGCGATTTATCCCGATCCTGGCCCTGTTTCAGGGCACCTGCGCGCGACCCCGCGCGGAGAGCCTGCGCGCGAATGCCCGCGCGGTCTGCCTCGTGTCCCTGCGTCGCACGCATCGGCAGAGGCATGGCTCCCGGAGGTCCGCGCGGATGTCTTGGCTGGGCGCCGACGCCGGCGCGCCAAGGAGTGGCGCCGTGCGTGCCGCCAGGGCGGGGGGGGGGGGATCCAGAGATTCGCGCGGACCTCCGGGAGCCCGTGCCAGCAGCAATAGAGCAGAGCATGGCCACGAGCGTCTGTGCGTGTGCCGTGCTTCCAGGCGCCGCTCGAGGGGAACGCACCTCGGAGCAAGGGGGCTGTTTACCAGCCTCGAACTGATCCCTACCCCTAAGATTGGCACGCCGAGCGGCGATGACAATCTTAGGGATGCGCCCTCGAAAAATAAGGGAATCCCTAAGATTGGCATCGTGATGAGGAGATGCCCAGCATAGGGATAGGGATATGTTCCAGGCTGGTAAGCTGTGGCCTTCACGCAGCCCTCCAGGAGCGAGTTGTATACGATCTCATCACACTCCAGGTTGCGCGCCTGCAGCTCCTTTCAGGGACGGGCCAAGGGGGAGGGCCAAGGCCAACAAGACTGCAAGCAGCTGACCGAAGCCAAACGACAATGCCACAGAAGGCAACCCATGCTTCAGGGGCGAGAAATCCGCCACCGTGCCTCTGGCACGACGTGGAGTGCCCCAAGGCTCATGCAGCACTGAGAGGTAGACGCTGAGCTGCTTCTGCAGCGAGAATCTGATCTTCAAGACCCAGGCCAAACGTGTCCAAAGCCTTCCCGAGCTTGTCTCTGGGCTGGCTCCCGTGAGTTCTGACATGTTCCCTGCGCCTCCTCTGAACGCGGTGCTCCCACTAACCGACCTCCCGAACCCTCCCAGTAGTCCAAGCGGGCCCCGAGTCGCCGAACGATTGCTCCAAGACGCTCAAGATGGCCTCAAGATGGCGCAAGAGGCCTCCGAGACGCCACAAGAGGCCTCGAAGAGGTCTCCCAAGAGGTCTCCAAGAGGTACAAATCATCGATTTCCCGTAGGTTGTCGGTGGATTTTGGCATCCTCGCCTTTTTGGCATTCCGACGCCGAAAGACGGCCCATAAGGCACCCAAGACCACCCCAATACAACCCCAAGAGGCCTCCAAGAGGGCCCCAAGGCAGCATAAGAGCGCCCCAAGACGGCCCAAGAGGCGCCCAAGACGGCGCAAGATGGCCCCAAGAAGGCCCCAACAGGGGACCAATAGAGGGAACACGAACCGAAAATCCGAGCCTTCCGAGAGACCCCATATGCCCCCAAGAGGCCCCCGTGAGGTCCCGAGAGGCCCAAAAGATGCACCAAGAGGCTCCACAGCGGCGTCTAAGAGGCATCAAAATTGCCTCCAAGAGGCCCCCGAGAGGCCACCAACGAGATCCCAACGATCATCCAATAGGCTTTGTAGCCACAGCCCAGGCACGGTGGCGGGATGGGCCGAAGGCCATTAGATCCGCCGCCCCCTGCTTGCAGGGGTGCACGGCGTGCTGGACGAGCTGTTAGGTTTTGGTTTTGGTTCTTTTTCCACAAGAACTCCCCAGTGGGCTCCGGCAGAACCCGCCGGCCACCCGGAAAATCCCCAAACGTGCTCAACGACCGGAAAAAATCCTCCAAAAAACGGCCGTTTCGCTCGGGACATCCTCAAAAAATCGCGAAGATGGCCCAAGATGGCCTCCAAGTCCGCCCGAGATGGTCCAAGACGGCCTCCAAAACGGCCCAAGAGAGTCCAAGACGGCCCAAGACGGCCCAAGAGGCCCCCCAGAGGCCTCCCAGACGGCCCAAGAGGCCTCCAAGAGGTCCTCCAGGAGAGTCCGAAGAGGCCAAAATCATTGATTTTTCCTTGGTTTTTGAAGGATTTGGCATTTGCGCCTTTTCGGCTCTCCGACGGCTCAAGACGGCCCAAGAAGCCCCCAAGATCGCCCAAGAGGCCCCCAAGAGAGCCCCCTGATGGCCCAAGTGGCCTCCAAGATGGCCCCTAGAGGGGAGAGGGCCCCAAGAGGGCCCAAGAGGCCTCCAACACGCCCAAGATGGCCTCCAAGACGCCCAAGATGGCCTCCAAGACGGCCCTGGAGCGCCCCAAGAGGGTCCCCCGTTGGCCCAGAAAGGCCCCCAAAACGGCTCCCGACGGCGTCAGACGTGCCAGGAACCCACCAAGATGGCCGAAGTTGGCTCGAAGCTGGCCCAAAAGGGCCCAAGAGGCCCCCAAGAGGGCCTCCAGGAAGGCCAAAAGATGCCAAAATCACTGATTTTCCCAAGGTTTTTGATGGATTTGGACATTTCCCTTCTTTCGGCCTTCCGACGGCCCGAGACGGCCCAAGAGCCCCCAAAGATCGCCGAAAGATCGCCCAAGAGGCCTCCAAGACGGCGACGATGACCATCAAGACGCCCACGTGTTCCCCGAAGGCTTTCCAAACCGATTCGGGGAACACATGGTCCGATGGCTTGGCAGGTCTGGCCTCAACGTTCGGCCACATAGGCGCTTCCACAAAGGCAGGGGGCGGCGGTGATTCGCCGTAGGCGTCTTCGATCCGCCGCCCCCTGCTTGCAGGGGTGCACGGCGTGCTGGATGTTTCAGGTTTTGGTTTTGGTTCTTTTTCCAAAAGAACTCCCCAGTGGGCTCCGGCAGAACCCGCCGGCCACCCGGAAGGTGCTCAACGACCGGAAAAAATCCTCCAAAAAACGGCCGTTTCGCTCGGGACATCCTCAAAAAATCGCGAAGATGGCCCAAGATGGCCTCCAAGTCCGCCCGAGATGGTCCAAGACGGCCTCCAAAACGGCCCAAGAGAGTCCAAGACGGCCCAAGACGGCCCAAGAGGCCCCCCAGAGGCCTCCCAGACGGCCCAAGAGGCCTCCAAGAGGTCCTCCAGGAGAGTCCGAAGAGGCCAAAATCATTGATTTTTCATTGGTTTTTGAAGGATTCTGGCATTTGCGCCTTTTCGGCTCTCCGACGGCTCGAGACGGCCCAAGAAGCCCCCAAGATCGCCCAAGAGGCCCCCAAGAGAGCCCCATGATGGCCCAAGTGGCCTCCAAGATGGCCCCTAGAGGGCCCCAAGAGGGCCCAAGAGGCCTCCAACACGCCCAAGATGGCCTCCAAGACGCCCAAGATGGCCTCCAAGACGGCCCTGGAGCATTCCAAGCGGGCCCCAAGTCGGCCCATAGAGGCCCCCCAAACGGCTTCCGACGGCTTCAGACGTGCCAGGAACCCACCAAGATGGCCGAAGTTGGCTCGAAGCTGGCCCGAGACGGCCCAAAAAGCCCCAAAGATCGCCCAAAGCTTGCCCAAGAGGCCTCCAAGACGGCCAAGATGACCTTCAAGATGCCCACGTGTTCCCCGAAGGCTTTCCAAACCGATTCGGGGAACACGTGGTCCGATAGCTTGGCAGGTCTGGCCTCAACGTTCGGCCACATAGGCGCTTCCAAAAAGGCAGGGGGCGGCGGTGATTCGCCGTAGGCGTCTTCGATCCGCCGCCCCTGCTTGCAGGGTGGTGCACGGCGTGCTGGATGATTCAGGTTTTGGTTTTGGTTCTCTTTCTAAAAGAACTCCCCAGTGGGCTTCGGCCCGTCCCGCCGGCCACCCGCAAATTTCGGAAAACCCATCCCTCAATGCCCAAAAACGGCCGTTTCGCTCGGGACATCCTCAAAAAATCGCGAAGATGGCCCAAGATGGCCTCCAAGTCCGCCCGAGATGGTCCAAGACGGCCTCCAAAACGGCCCAAGAGAGTCCAAGACGGCCCAAGACGGCCCAAGAGGCCCCCCAGAGGCCTCCCAGACGGCCCAAGAGGCCTCCAAGAGGTCCTCCAGGAGAGTCCGAAGAGGCCAAAATCATTGATTTTCACTTGGTTTTTGAAGGATTTTGGCATTTGCGCCTTTTCGGCTCTCCGACGGCTCAAGACGGCCCAAGAAGCCCCCAAGATCGCCCAAGAGGCCCCCAAGAGAGCCCCATGATGGCCCAAGTGGCCTCCAAGATGGCCCCTAGAGGGCCCCAAGATGGCCCAAGAGGCCTCCAACACGCCCAAGATGGCTCCCAGTAGACGCCCGAGAGAGCCCCCAAGACGCCTGTGCATTCCAAGCGGGCCCCAAGTCGGCCCATAGAGGCCCCCAAACGGCTTCCGACGGCTTCAGACGTGCCAGGAACCCACCAAGATGGCCGAAGTTGGCTCGAAGCTGGCCCGAGACGGCCCAAAAAGCCCAAAGATCGCCCAAAGCTTGCCCAAGAGGCCTCCAAGACGGCCAAGATGACCTTCAAGATGCCCACGTGTTCCCCGAAGGCTTTCCAAACCGATTCGGGAACACGTGGTCCGATAGCTTGGCAGGTCTGGCCTCAACGTTCGGCCACATAGGCGCTTCCAAAAAGGCAGGGGGCGGCGGTGATTCGCCGTAGGCGTCTTCGATCCGCCGCCCCCTGCTTGCAGGGGTGCACGGCGTGCTGGATGATTCAGGTTTTGGTTTTGGTTCTTTTTCTAAAATAACTCCCCAGTGGGCTTCGGCCCGTCCCGCCGGCCACCCGCGCGTTTCCCAAAATGCGTCTGTCAATGCCCAAAAACGGCCGTTTCGCTCGGGACATCCTCAAAAAATCGCGAAGATGGCCCAAGATGGCCTCCAAGTCCGCCCGAGATGGTCCAAGACGGCCTCCAAAACTGCCCAAGAGAGTCCAAGACGGCCCAAGACGGCCCAAGAGGCCCCCCAGAGGCCTCCCAGACGGCCCAAGAGGCCTCCAAGAGGTCCTCCAGGAGAGTCCGAAGAGGCCAAAATCATTGATTTTCCCATGGTTTTTGAAGGATTTTGGCATTTGCGCCTTTTCGGCTCTCCGACGGCTCAAGACGGCCCAAGAAGCCCCCAAGATCGCCCAAGAGGCCCCCAAGAGAGCCCCATGATAGCCCAAGTGGCCTCCAAGATGGCCCCTAGAGGGCCCCAAGAGGGCCCAAGAGGCCTCCAACACGCCCAAGATGGCCTCCAAGACGCCCAAGATGGCCTCCAAGACGGCCCTGGAGCATTCCAAGCGGGCCCCAAGTCGGCCCAAAGAGGCCCCCCAACCGGCTTCCGACGGCTTCAGAGTTGGCTCGAAGCTGGCACGAGACGGCCCAAAAAGCCCCAAAGATCGCCCAAAGCTTGCCCAAGAGGCCTCCAAGACGGCCAAGATGACCTTCAAGATGCCCACGTGTTACCCGAAGGCTTTCCAAACCGATTCGGTGAACACGTGGTCCGATAGCTTGGCAGGTCTGGCCTCAACGTTCGGCCACATAGGCGCTTCCAAAAAGGCAGGGGGCGGCGGTGATTCGCCGTAGGCGTCTTCGATCCGCCGCCCCCTGTGGTCTTGCCACAGGGGTGCACGGCGTGCTGGACGATTCAGGTTTTGGTGTTGGTTCTTTTTCTAAAAGAACTCCCCAGTGGGCTTCGGCCCGTCCCGCCGGCCACCCGCGCGTTTCCCAAAATCCGTCTGTCAATGTCCAAAAACGGCAGGTTCGCTCGGGACATCCTCAAAAAATCGCGAAGATGGCCCAAGATGGCCTCCAAGTCCGCCCGAGATGGTCCAAGACGGCCTCCAAAACGGCCCAAGAGAGTCCAAGACGGCCCAAGACGGCCCAAGAGGCCCCCCAGAGGCCTCCCAGACGGCCCAAGAGGCCTCCAAGAGTTCCTCCAGGAGAGTCCGAAGAGGCCAAAATCATTGATTTTCCCTTGGTTTTTGAAGGATTTTGGCATTTGCGCCTTTTCGGCTCTCCGACGGCTCAAGACGGCCCAAGAAGCCCCCAAGATCGCCCAAGAGGCCCCCAAGAGAGCCCCATGATGGCCCAAGTGGCCTCCAAGATGGCCCCTAAGGGCCCCAAGAGGGCCCAAGAGGCCTCCAACACGCCCAAGATGGCCTCCCAGACGCCCAAGATGGCCTCCAAGACGGCCCTGGAGCATTCCAAGCGGGCCCCAAGTCGGCCCATAGAGGCCCCCCAACCGGCTTCCGACGGCTTCAGACGTGCCAGGAACCCACCAAGATGGCCGAAGTTGGCTCGAAGCTGGCCCGAGACGGCCCAAAAAGCCCCAAAGATCGCCCAAAGCTTGCCCAAGAGGCCTCCAAGACGGCCAAGATGACCTTCAAGATGCCCACGTGTTCCCCGAAGGCTTTCCAAACCGATTCGGGGAACACGTGGTCCGATAGCTTGGCAGGTCTGGCCTCAACGTTCGGCCACATAGGCGCTTCCAAAAAGGCAGGGGGCGGCGGTGATTCGCCGTAGGCGTCTTCGATCACGGAAGGCAGCATGTTTGCCTTCAGTGGACCTTCACTGGCGGCTCCAGAGGCCTCCAGCCTTCCGAGAAACGTCCTGGGCCTCCGTCGCAGACGCAGGCGCTTTCTCAGCAGGCGGGGAAAGTCTGAGAATCCCCACCACCTGTTGAGACGGCCTGCGCTTCTCCCTTCCCCCCTGGGCGCGACGCCGATCCTCTGCAAGGCGCATGGCTTTGCCGAGCTCGCCGCTGCTGCAGTAGCCCTTGATGAGGGTGCTGAAGGTGATGAGGTCGGGCCAAACCCCCGCCGCCGTCATCTGCTGGAGGACCTCCGCGGCGCCATTGAGGTCGTTGGCTCGCACGCAGGCGTCGATGAGGCTGTTGAACACGACGACGTTGCACGTCACGCCCTCGGCCACCATCTCCTGGTGAAGCTTCCTTGCGGCGGAAGGATCCTTGGATTTCGCAAGACCCTTGATGAGCGTCGCGTACAAGATCGTGTTCTTGTGAAGCCCCTTTTCCTTCATCGCTGCGAAAACCTGAAAAGCCCGATCGAGATGGCCACACTTCACGCACGCGTCGAGCATGCAGCCATACGTGACTGCGTTTGCCTCGAGGCCCTCCTTCGACATCGCCTCCCACGCCTGGAGGACCTTGTCGATGTTCCCCGCGCGGCCGTACGCCTTCGAACAAAGAGGGCTGCATATGCATACTCTCCGCTCGGAAGAAGTAGGTACGACATGAAGTAGGACGGCGAATAATGCATATTGGGCTCAGGCCCTCCTAGATAATAGCAAGATACGGTAAACGCAGATCGGATCTTGAAGTACGAGGGCGCTTGAAGCAGTTTGGAATCTGGGAATCCAGAAATACATACTTTTAACGACCAGCGTGCATGTAAATTGGCGGAGCTCCGCGCGGCTGGGATCAGCGCTGGGCCCAGCCCCCCTTTCGCGCGGAGCGAACCAGAAGGGGGCCCAGCGCCGATTTGAAAAGTCCGAGCGGAGCTCACAAAGATTGTGTCCACGCCGTTGTTCCCTCCTCCTCATCCTCCTCCTCCTCTTCATCCTCCTCCTCCTCCTCTTCCTCCTCCTCTCCCCCTCTCCTCCCTCCTCCTCATTCCTCCTCCTCCTCCTCTTTCCTCCTCCTCCTCCTCCTCCTCTTCCTCCTCCTCCTGCTCCCCCTCCATCTCCTCCTCCTCCTCCTCCTCAACCTCATCCTCCGCCTCCTCTCTCTTCCTCCTCCTCCTCCTCCTCCTCCTACTCCTCCTCCTCCCCTCCTCCTCTGCCCTCGTCCTCCTCCTCTTCCCTTCCTCCTCCTCTTCTCTCCCTCCTCCTCCTCCTCCTCCTCCTCCTCTTCCTCTACTCCTCCTCCTTCTCCTCCGCATCTCCTCCTCATCTCCCCCTCTTTCCTCCTCCTCCTCCTCCTCCCCCCCCCTCCCTCTCCTCCTCCTCCTCCTCCTCCTCCTCCTCCTCCTCCTCCTCCTCAACCTCCTTCTCCTCCCTCCTCCTCCTCCTCCTCCTCCTCCTCCTCCTCCTCCTCTTCCTCCTCGTTCTGCTCCTCCTCCGCCTTCTCATCCTCATCGAGGCACTGAGGCACTGATGGCAGAGAGGTCTCGTGACGCTGCAATCCCTCCTCCTCCGTCGAGCCTTGACAATCGTACCGTACGTGACAGCGGAGCCCCGGATGTTGTACTCCTTCATCTTTGTCAGCGTTGCCTCCAGCCTGGGCATGTCGTTCATCCTGCAGAAGACGTCCAGGAGTGAGTTCACAAGAACCTCATCCACGTCCTCCTGCTGGGTCTTGAGGAAGTGCTCCACCAACAGAACGCCCCGTGGCGCCCGCCGCTTGTCCCCGCGCTCCGTAATGCCCTTGGTCAGGATGGACACGGTGTACTTGTCCGCACGCAGCCCGCGGCGCTGCATCTCCTCCAGAACGTCCCACGCTTCCTCCAGAAGAGCACCAAGGCGCGACAAATAAAAACGGGCCTTGCGCACGATGCCGCAGCGAACGTACGCGGTGGCTTGCACGGGCCGCAAGCGCGACACGCTGCACTGGAAACGAAGGCATTCGCGCGCGACATTACGCGGGCACCTGACGCGCGAGCGTCCGATCACTCGAACCCGTGTTTCTGCGTCGTTCAGAGCGGCACCCGCATCACTCTCGGAGATCCGCGCGAATTTCTTGGACCTGCGCTGAGTCCAGCGCGTGAGATAGCGGCGCCCGAGGCGCCGCCAGGGCTTTCGGGGGATCCCGCGCCGACCGAAGGAACTAGCGCGGACCTCGGACAGTCTGTGCTTACAGCGGATGCCAGTCCGCAAGAAGCCTTCCGCCAGAAACCCAACCCTGAGACCCCACGAGGACGTCGATGGAAGTTTGGTGTGGGGACGTCACGCTCTCCATGGCAGAACCATCGAAACCCAAGAACCCAGGGCACCCTGGAGGCAAGCAGGCTGCTTCTCGGCAGGTATCTCCATTGCATGCTGCGTTTTCCCCTTAGACCTGATACCTCGCACCAGAGGTCCTGACAGCTCCCCTGGGCCAGTTTTTCCCCGGAGCCCGTTTTTGAAGGCCCGGGGGCCTGACGCTGGCCCCCGACGGCCAGAATCTATGGAAGAAAGCTTGCACAACATTCACGCGTGTGTCGCGCTTCATGCTATCCTTACCGACGTCACGAAGACATGCGACATCGTAGATGAATCGACCGGAGCCCTGGACCCTGTCCATCTGCTGCGTTTTTCGAGCCGGATCGGTCCGTGATGGCCTCGGGGCCCGACACAAGGCAAACTCGCCCGTTTTGACAGACAGGTGACACCAGATTCACGAATACTCCTCCTCCTCCTGGTCCCCTTCCCCTCGTTCACCTCCTAGTCCACCGCCTCCTCGTCCTCGTCCTCGTCCTCGTCCTCGTGGTCGTCCCCCTCCTCTTGCCCTCGTCCAACACCTCGTACTCTTCATCCTCCTGCTCCTCCTCCTCCTCCTTCTCCTCCTCCTCCTTCTCTCGTCCTCCTCCCCCTCGCCCACCACCTCGTCCTCCCCCTTCGGGGAATTTCTCTCCCTCTCCCCCTTTTCCCTCGGGGACGCACGAGCCCAAATCAGCACACACCCAGGTCGGCCAAGGCCCTGTCGCGAAAGCCGGCCGGCCGCTTGGAGCCGAAATTGTGATCGAGATAACGATCGTTCAAGAAATCTGAGCCAACTTCCCGGAGCTTTCTTGAAACAGACCTGGGCCAACTTCTGCCAGTCACGCCGAAGGAGCGACCGTGCTCGAGAAACTGGGCCGGCTTCCTGGCAAGTCGGCTGCAAGAAGCGCCGGCCCAGCTCTCCGGCAGGCTTCCTGATCAGATGCTCGAGTGCAGCTCCCAAAACGGGGCCAGCGGAGGGCGGGCAAAAGGGCATTCCCTCCACCTCCATCTTCCATACCTTCCGACCTCCGCGGAAGGCGCGGAAGGTGATGCATTGAAACTATCGAAAGCCTCAGGAAATGCAGGACAACTCAGCGTTTCACGAAGCGCATGGCTGTGGAAGGTCAGCACGGAAGGTCTGGAAGTAATGAGGGCGAGGGTTGGCCCCACGCGGCTCCCGAGCACGGGCGGGCTGACCCCCGTTGGCGCTGACCCCCGTGGGGTGAGCCCCGAGGCCCTGCGGAGGTCCTCGAGGTGGGCCGGCCCCGCGCGCGCCGCCGTGTCCATGAGCAGGTTCAGGGAGGACTCGTTGGGCGAGACGCCGAGGCGCGGCATCTCCTGCGCAGGAGACACCCACACACCACCACCAGGTGTGTGGGGGGGGGAGGGAGGGGTGCGGCTGCCAAACCCTCCTTCGGGAGGAGGGAGGAGGAGGTACGGGCGGAGCGACGCGGAGGCGGAGGCGGAGGCGAAGGGGGAGGATGAGGCGGGGGCGGAGGCGGAGGCGGAGGAGGACGAGGAGGAGACGGAGGAGGAGGAGGAGGAGGAGGAGGAGGAGGAGGAGGAGGAGGAGGTGCACGCCTCCGAGAGAACGATCGGGGGCGACCAGGCCCCAGTGCGCGACAAGTGCACAAGGGCTTCACCCAAGACGGCATAGCCACCTGACGCAACGGCCTTCATGGGCCGCCAGCGTGGCACAACGCGTGGATAGAAGAGGGCGCTTACGCGCGGCCTTGCGCAAGGAACTTACGCGCCAATGTCGGCATAATCAAACCCGTTTTGCTGCGTCGTTCAATTTCAAAGGCAGCAAGCTGGATTAGCCCAGATCCGGCTCAGGATTACAGACGGCGGCGCCCGCCAGACTAAGCGGACCCTAGCGCAACTCAACGGGACTACTAGCGTACCCGACCACGGATATACCAGAGCCGATGCTGAATTAAACCTCCCAAGGTGTATCTCCTACGCAGACGGCGACCATACTCCCTGATGTCCTTTGTTTGCGGAAACAAAAGAATTACTGGACAGCTCGCCCCTTGGCTCCCCGCCAGCCCCACGCCAAGGGGCGAGCATATTAACGAGCGCATCACCACGCTGGATGCGTAGCCGTCGGCTGGGCCAACCTAGCGAATCACGCATCGCGTGGCGGCTGGATGCCCGCGCCGAGCACAGCTCTTCTCGGTCCTCCTCCTCCTCCTCCTCCTCCTCCTCCTCCTCCTCCTCCTCCTCCTCCTCCTCCTCCTCCTCCTCCTCCCCCGCTAGCTTAGAACTGCCACCGAAATATCCTCATCCGCTGGCTTGAAACTGCCACCGAAATATCCTCACCCGCTGGCTTAAAACTGCCACCGAAATATCAACACCCGCTGCCTACCGAAATACCCTCACCCGCTGGCTTAAAACTGCCACCGAAATATCCTCTCCCGCTGGCTTAAAATTGCCACCGAAATATCCTCAGACGCGGAAGTAAAACTGCAGCGAAATATCCTCATCCGCTAACGTAAGACTGCCACCGAAATATCCTCACACGCGAACGTACAACTGCCACCGAAATATCCTCACCCGCTGGCTTAAGACTGCCACCGAAATACACTCACCCGCTGGCTTAAGACTGCCACCGAAATATCCTCACCCGCTGGCTTAAGACTGCCACCGAAATATCCTCACCCGCGGAACACAACTGCTACCGAAATATCCTCACCCGCTGGCTTGAGACTGCCACCGAAATACACTCACCCGCGGAAATACAACTGCCACCGGAACATCCTTTCCTGCTGGCTTGAAACTGCCACAACATATCCTCACCCGCTGGCTTAAGACTGCCACCGAAATATCCTCACCCGCTGGCTACCGAAATATCCTCACCCGCTGGCTTAAAACTGCCACCGAAATATCCTCACCCGCTGGCTTAAAACTGCCACCGAAATATCCTCACCCGCTGGCTTAGAACTGCCACCGAAATATCCTCACCCGCGGAACACATCTGCCACCGAAATATCCTCAGCCGCTGGCTTAAAACTGCCACCGAACTATCCTGACCCGCGGAAAAAAAACTGCCACCAAAATATCCTCACCCGCGGAAAAAAACTGCCACTCGAAATATCCTCACCTGCTGGCTTGAAACTGCCACCGAAATATCCTCACGGAAATAAAACTGCCACCGAAATATCCTCACCCGCTGGCTTAACACTGCCGCCGAAATATCACCACTCGCGGAAAAAAAACTGCCACCGAAGTATCCTCACCCGCTGGCTTGAGACTGCCACCGAAATATCCTCACCCGCTGGATTAAAACTGCCACGCGAAATATCCTCACCCGCTGGCATAAAACTGCCACCGAAATATCCTCACCCGCTGGCTTGAAAAAACTGCCACCGAAATATCCTCACCCGCTGGCTAAAAACAGCCACCGAAATATCCTCACCCGCGGAAATAAAACTGCCACCAAAATATCCTCACCCGCTGGCTTGAGACTGCCACCGAAATATCCTCACCCGCTGGCTTAAGACTGCCACCGAAATATCCTCACCCGCGGAACACAACTGCCACCGAAATATCCTCACCCGCTGGCTTAAGACTGCCACCGAAATATCCTCACCCGCGGAAATACAACTGCCACCGGAACATCTTCACCCGCTGGCATAAAACTGCCTCCGAAATATCCTCACCCGCTGGCTTACATCTGCCACCGAAGTTCCCTCACCCGCGGAAATACAGCTGCTATGTAACGGCCTGATGGGTCAGTTCAGTCTGTCTGTCTGCCTACCTCGCGAGAATCAAATTTCGGACTGCGCCCGTAAAACACGACGGACAGTTTCGGACACCACGTCTCTCCGAAGATCGTCATACGTTCTGGAAGTCCCCGAAGCTTCCCGAAGTTCTCGTTGGCTCTCGGCGGTTGCCTCGCCTCGGGATTCGTTCCAGCGGCCGCGCCTCGCCGAGAGCGTTCCGGAGGTGCCAGAAACATCCCGAGCAACCGCCAGAGGCCCGAGTTATGATCTTAGCTGCCCCGATACGCTATACGCGACACGTAGCGTATTGATACGGAGCTCAACACGTGGACTGAAAACGTAGGTCCGACGCGGTACGTTCGCCAAAACGTGGGCCAATACGTGGAGCCAACACGCAACGTATTGACACGGACGTCTTGAACACGGGACGTGTTGCGTTTCAAAACGGGCGTATCGAGGCAACTAAGGTTATGATCCGAAAACCACCACCCGAACAACCGCCAGAGGCCCGAGCTACAAGCCTCGGAACAAATTAGCGAACACTCAGGCCACATTCATCCGTCAACGCCTCCCCCTATCCCCCTCCCCCCAATGTTCATGCACTTAGACCGCAGTGTCCCCCGCGCGCGCCAACATTGAGTTTGGGGGGGAGGGGGAGTGTTCAATAACTGTTTCCCTTTACCGTATGCTCCGAAAGCCACCACCGCCAAAACGTGGGCCAATACGTGGAGCCAACACGCAACGTATTGACACGGACGTCTTGAACACGCGACGTGTTGCGTTTCAAAAAGGGCGTATCGAGGCAACTGAGGTTATGCTCCGAAAACCACCACCGTCAACAGGAGCACGACGCAGGTCTTCAAACATGTCCCCCGCGCGCGCGCGCGCCAACATTGAGTTTGGGGGGGAGGGGGAATGTTCAGTAATTGTTCCCCTCTACCGTATGCTCCGAAAACCACCACCGTCAAAAGAAGCACGACGGCGGTGTTCGATCATGTCCTCGGCCCCAGGGGGGGCCTCGGCGGGCCCAGGGCTGGGAAGAGCCCGTCCCCAGGGAGAAGAGGCCCAGACCTCTGGTGGAGGTGCCGAGTTCCAGGCCTCTCTGCCAGGCCTCTGGGGAGAGGCCTGGACCTTGGGGAAGAGGCCTGGACCTCTGGGGAAGAGACTGGACCTTGGGAAAACGTTTCGACCTCTGGGGGAACGAGGCCTGGACCTCGGGGGAAGAGGATCCAGGACCCGGGGAAGGGGAGGAGGTGGAGGAGGAGGAGGGAGGAGGCGGAGGAGGAGAGGAGTGAGACGGAAGGAGGAGGAGGAGGAGGAGGAGGAGGACAGGGAAGAGAGGCCCAGGCCTCTCTGGGGAGCCGCGCCGCGGCAGGAGGTCGCCCTGCGGCAGGGAGCCCCCACGAGGGCTTCACCCTGCGGCCGAGAGAGGGGCACAGACGGAGACACCTCGAGTAAGCATAGAGACAACGGGGGGCAACGAGGGATAACCGACCACGGGCGATGCTAATACCCCGGGGATAAGAAAGTTCGGGATTCTGGCGGGGATAATGATAGGATGAGGAGGAGGAGGAGGAGGAGGAGGAGGAGGAGGAGGAGGAGGAGGAGGAGGAGGAGGAGGAGGAAGGGGTGGACGAAGGACGAGCAACCAACAACAAGACGCCCTGATGTACTGAGGCAGGAATTCGGCAATCCAAACAATTGCAGACACATCGTGAGCCTGGCCGCTTGCCAACACACTGCATGCCAGATGCAAGCCTCGTGCACATGAATTCCGCCAGGATTCTGACATGGCTCACAGGACCGATACGTATGAATCACGTCGCTCGCGGCGCTCATCTGGGAGGCCTCTAGCCTATGCTCCTAGTCGAAGATGCGCACCTTCAGCGCACGGCCTGCCTCAGAGTCCGACCGCGGAGGCGCCGCGGACGCGCCGCTGGCCCGCGGCCCCGCGGTGGCGGGGGGGCCGCCCGAGCCACTGGCCGCCCCATCTTGGGGGGCCGCCAGCAAGGGCAGCATGACGGCGTCCGTCACACCACAGAACGCGTCGAACGCGTGCTTGCGGGCCTTGCACGCCTCCTCGCCCTGCGACGCCTTCGCGTTCGCCTCGCCCCACGCGTCCCTCCGCCAGTGAGACATCGCGTGGAGGTGGCGCGGGGCCTTGCAGCCACTGGGCAGCCACACGAAGCAGCCCGTGCTCCTGGGGAGGGCCGGCGCCGCCTCGGGCAGCGAGTCGACCACGTCCGCGGCCCGCGCCTCCTCGGCCGCCGCGTCAGCCTCGGCAACTGCCTGCGGCACCGCCTCTGGCGCCTCTGGCGCCTCCCCCTGTCCCCCTTCATCCTCCACGAGGACCTCCCGAGGAGATGTCAGCAGCATGACGGTGTCCGTCACACCGCACCACGCGTCGAACGCTTGCTTGCGGGCCTTGCACGCCTTCTCGCTCTGCCCCGCCTGCGCGTTCGCCTCGCCCCACGTGTCCCTCCGCCACTGAAACTTCGCGTGGATGTGTGCGGGGTCTTGCAGCCGCTGGGCAGCCACGCGAAACAGCCAGCGCTCCTCGGCCGAGCTGGGCCACAGGCGAGACTGGATGCGGTGCACATGCGACCTGGGGCCGAAGCGGCCTGTGTCGCGTTCTCCTCCTGGGCCTGTCCTGGGAGCTCCGGCGGCGTGTCCTTGAGCTTCTCGACGACCGGTGTGTCGGTGGAGACGCCCGACGCGGTGGAGGCCTCGTGGGGGGCCGCCAGCAAGGGCATCATGACGGGCGTCCGTTCACACCACAGAACGCGCGAACGCGTGCTTGCTGCCTTGCACGCCTCCTCTGCCCTGCGACGCCTTCTCGTTCGCCTCGCACCACGCGCGTCCCTCCGCCAGTGAGACATCGCGTGGAGGTGTCGCGGGCCATTGCAGCCGATGGGTACCACCCAAGGCACCCGTGCTCCTTGGGGAGGGCCTGCGCCGCCTCGGGCAACGAGTCGACCACGTCCGCTCCCGCGGCCTCCTCGCCTGCCGCGTCAGCTCGGCAACTGCCTGCGCAAACGCCGCCTCTGGCGCCTCTGGCGCCTCCCCCAATCCCCCTTCATCCTCCACGAAGACCTCCCGAGGAGATGTCAGCAGCATGACGGTGTCCGTCACACCGCACCACGCGTCGAACGCTTGCTTGCGGGCCTTGCACGCCTTCTCGCTCTGCCCCGCCTGCGCGTTCGCCTCGCCCCACGTGTCCCTCCGCCACTGAAACTTCGCGAGGAAGTGATGCGGGGTCTTGCAGCCGCTGGGCAGCCACGCGAAACAGCCAGCGCTCCTCGGCCGAGCTGGGCCACAGGCGAGACTGGATGCGGTGCACATGCGCCCTGGGGCCGAAGCGGCCTGTGTCGCGTTCTCCTCCTTCGGGGATGGACAAACTCCCCTTTAGTAAAACGTGGTTTAGTGAAAACGACCTGAGGCCCAAACCTGGCGGGCGCAAGCCTGGAAAATAACGGCCACGGCGCCCTCTCGAGAACCGAGAACGGACAATTCACTAATCGACGTGTCACTGTTGGGGGTTCTGTCCACCCCCGACTCCTGCGCCTGTCCTGGGAGCTCCGGCGGCGTGTCCTCGAGCGTCTCGACGAACGGTGTGTCGGCGGAGACGCCCGTCGCGGTGGAGGCCTCGGCTGCGGCGGCGCTCTGCAGCTGGACGGCTCCGGCGGGCGCCCCCAAGAGCAGGGCGGCAAGGAAGCAGGCGCGTGCCCGCGGCATCGCGTGGCAAGGCGGTACAACAGAAGGTGCGGAAGTTAGACGGACAAAAGCCTGGAGCCAAAACGGCTACGGAGAGCAACCAGCAACAAGCCAAGAGGGCCCTAAGAAGGCCCAAAGGAGCCCCACGCCAAGGGGCGAGCATATTTACGAGCGCACCACCGCGCTGGATGCGTAGCCGTCGGCTGGGCCAACCTAGCGAATGACGCATCGCGTGCCGGCTGGATGCCCGCGCCGAGCATAGCTCTTCTCGGTTCCTCCCTCTTCCTCCTCCTCCTCCTCCTCCTCCTCCTCCTCCTCCTCCTCCTCCTCCTCCTCCTCCTCCTCCTCCTCCTCCTCCCCCGCTAGCTTAGAACTGCCACCGAAATATCCTCATCCGCTGGCTTGAAACTGCCACCGAAATATCCTCACCCGCTGGCTTGAACCGCCGCCGGAATCTCCTCACCCGCTGGCTCAAGACTGCCACAGAAATATCCTCACCCGCTGGCTGAAGACTGCCACCGAAATATCCACACACGCGGAAATAAAACTGCCACCGAAATATCCTCACCCGCTGGCTTAGAACTGCCTTCGAAATATCCTCAGCCGCAGAAATAAAACTGCCACCAAAACATCCTCGCCCGCTGGCTCAAGACTGCCACTGAAATATTTTCACCCGCTGGCTTAAAACTGCCACCGAAATATCCTCACCCGCGGAAATAAAACTGCAACCGAAATATCCTCATCCGCTTACCTGAGACTGCCACCGAAATATCCTAACACGCGAACATACAGCTGCCACCGAAATATCCTCACCCGCTAGCTTAAGACTGCCACCGAAATGTCCTCACCCGCTGGCTTAAGACTGCCACCGAAATATTCTCACCCGCTGGCTTAAGACTGCCACCGAAATATCCTCACACGCGGAACACAACTGCCACCGAAATATCCTCACCCGCTGGCATAAAACTGCCACCGACATATCCTCACCCGCTGGCTTAAAACTGCCACCGAAATATCCTCACCCGCTGGCTTAAAACAGCCACCGAAATATCCACACCCGCTGGCTTAAAACTGCCACCGAAATATCCTCACCCGCGGAACACATCTGCCACCGAAATATCCTCACCCGCTGGCTTAAAACTGCCACCGAAATATCCTCGCACGCGGAAGAAAAACTGCCACCGAAATATCCTCACCCGCTGGATTGAAACTGCCACCGACATATCCTCACCCGCTGGCTTAAAACTATCACTCAAAATATCCTCACCCGCTGGCACAAAACTGCCACCGAAATATCCTCACCCGCTGGCTTAACACTGCCACCGAAATATCCTCACCCGCTGGCTTAAAACACCCACCGAAATATCCTTACCCGCGGAAATAAAACTGCCACCGAAATAGTCTCACCCGCGGAAGAAAAACTGCCACTCGAAATGTCCTCACCTGCTGGCTTGAAACTGCCACCGAAATATCCTCACGGAAATCAAACTGCCACCGAAATATCCTCACCCGCTGGCTTAACACTGCCGCCGAAATATCCTCACTCGCGGAAAGAAACTGCCACCGAAATATCCTCACCCGCGGAAATAAAACTGCCACCGAAATATCCTCACCCGCTGGCTTACATCTGCCACCGAAATATCCTCACCCGCGGAAATAAAGCTGCCATCCAACGGCCTGATGGTTCAGTTCAGTCTGTCTGTCTGCCTACCTTGCGAGAATCAAATTACGGGCTGCGCCCGTAAAACACGACGGACAGTTTCGGACACCACGTCTCTCCGAAGATCGTCAAACATTCTGGAAGTCCCCGAAGCTTCCGGAAGTTCTCGTTGGCTCTCGGCGGTTGCCTCGCCTCGGGATTCGTTCCAGCGGCCGCGCCTCGTCGAGAGCGTTCCGGAGGTGTCAGAAACATCCCGAGCAACCGCCAGAGGCCCGAGTTATGATCTTAGCTGCCCCGATACGCTATACGCGACACGTAGCGTATTGATACGGAGCTCAACACGTGGACTGAAAACGTAGGTCCGACGCGATACGTTCGCCAAAACGTGGGCCAATACGTGGAGCCAACACGCAACGTATTGACACGGACGTCTTGAACACGGGACGTGTTGCGTGTCAAAACGGGCGTATCGAGGCAACTAAGGTGATGATCCGAAAACCACTACCCGAACAACCGCCAGAGGCCCGAGCTACAAGCCTCGGAACAAATTAGCGAACACTCAGGCCACACTCATCCGTCAACGCCTCCCCCTATCCCCCTCCCCCCAATGTTCATGCACTTAGACCGCAGTGTCCCCCGCGCGCGCCAACATTGAGTTTGGGGGGGAGGGGGAGTGTTCAATAACTGTTTCCCTTTACCGTATGCTCCGAAAGCCACCACCGCCAAAACGTGGGCCAATACGTGGAGCCAACACGCAACGTATTGACACGGACGTCTTGAACACGCGACGTGTTGCGTTTCAAAAAGGGCGTATCGAGGCAACTGAGGTTATGCTCCGAAAACCACCACCGTCAACAGGAGCACGACGCAGGTCTTCAAACATGTCCCCCGCGCGCGCGCGCGCCAACATTGAGTTTGGGGGGGAGGGGGAATGTTCAGTAATTGTTCCCCTCTACCGTATGCTCCGAAAACCACCACCGTCAAAAGAAGCACGACGGCGGTGTTCGATCATGTCCTCGGCCCCAGGGGGGGCCTCGGCGGGCCCAGGGCTGGGAAGAGCCCGTCCCCAGGGAGAAGAGGCCCAGACCTCTGGGGGCAGAGGTCCAGGCCTCTGAGGTCCAGGCCTCTGGGGAAGAGGCCTGGACCTCTGGGGAAGAGGCCTGGACCTCTGGGGAAGAGACCTGGACCTCTGGGGAAGAGGTCCAGACCTCTGGGGGACGAGGCCTGGACCTCTGGGGGAAGAGGTCCAGACCTCGGGGGAAGGAGGAGGAGGTGGAGGAGGAGGAGGGAGGAGGAGGAGGAGGAGGAGGAGGAGGCGGAGGAGGAGGAGTGAGACGGAGGAGGAGGAGGAGGAGGAGGAGGAGGAGGAGGAGGAGGAGGAGGAGGAGGACAGGGAAGAGAGGCCCAGGCCTCTCTGGGGAGCCGCGCCGCGGCAGGAGGTCGTCCTGCGGCAGGGAGCCCCCACGAGGGCTTCACCCTGCGGCCGAGAGAGGGGCACAGACGGAGACACCTCGAGTAAGCATAGAGACAACGGGGGGCAACGAGGGATAACCGACCACGGGCGATGCTAATACCCTGGGGATAATAAAGTTCGGGATTCTGGCGGGGATAATGATAGGATGAGGAGGAGGAGGAGGAGGAGGAGGAGGAGGAGGAGGAGGAGGAGGAGGAGGAGGAGGAAGGGGTGGACGAAGGACGAGCAACCAACAACAAGACGCCCTGATGTACTGAGGCAGGAATTCGGCAATCCAAACAATTGCAGACACATCGTGAGCCTGGCCGCTTGCCAACACACTGCATGCCAGATGCAAGCCTCGTGCACATGAATTCCGCCAGGATTCTGACATGGCTCACATGACCGATACGTATGAATCACGTCGCTCGCGGCGCTCATCTGGGAGGCCTCTAGCCTATGCTCCTAGTCGAAGATGCGCACCTTCAGCGCACGGCCTGCCTCAGAGTCCGACCGCGGAGGCGCCGCGGACGCGCCGCTGGCCCGCGGCCCCGCGGTGGCGGGGGGGCCGCCCGAGCCACTGGCCGCCCCATCTTGGGGGGCCGCCAGCAAGGGCAGCATGACGGCGTCCGTCACACCACAGAACGCGTCGAACGCGTGCTTGCGGGCCTTGCACGCCTCCTCGCCCTGCGACGCCTTCGCGTTCGCCTCGCCCCACGCGTCCCTCCGGCCAGGGACGGCATCGCGTGGAGGTGCGCGGAGCGCGGGGTCTTGCAGCCGATGGGCAGCCACCACGAGAAGCCCGGCTCCTGAGGGAGGGCCGCGGCCGCTCGGGCAGCGAGTCGACCACGTCCGCGGCCCGCGCTCTCCTCGGCCGCAGCGTCGGCCTCGGCAACTGCCTGCGGCACCGCCTCTGGCGCCTCTGGCGCCTCCCCCTGTCCCCCTTCATCCTCCACGAGGACCTCCCGAGGAGATGTCAGCAGCATGACAGTGTCCGTCACACCGCACCACGCGTCGAACGCTTGCTTGCGGGCCTTGCAAGCCTTCTCGCTCTGCCCCGCCTGCGCGTTCGCCTCGCCCCACGTGTCCCTCCGCCACTGAAACTTCGCGTGGAAGTGATGCGGGGTCTTGCAGCCGCTGGGCAGCCACGCGAAACAGCCAGCGCTCCTCGGCCGAGCTGGGCCACAGGCGAGACTGGATGAGGTGCACATGCGACCTGGGGACGAAGCGGCCTGTGTCGCGTTCTCCTCCTGGGCCTGTCCTGGGAGCTCCGGCAGCGTGTCCTTGAGCTTCTCGACGACCGGTGTGTCGGTGGAGACGCCCGTCGCGGTGGAGGCCTCGTGGGGGGCCGCCAGCAAGGGCAGCATGACGGCGTCCGTCACACCACAGAACGCGTCGAACGCGTGCTTGCGGGCCTTGCACGCCTCCTCGCCCTGCGACGCCTTCGCGTTCGCCTCGCCCCACGCGTCCCTCCGCCAGTGAGGACATCGCGTGGAGGTGGCGAGGGGCCTTGCAGCCGCTGGGTAGCCACACGAAGCAGCCGTGCTCCTGGGGAGGGCCGGGCGCCCGCCCGGGCAGCACAGTCGAAACGCTGCGGCCCGCGCCTCCTCGGCCGCCGCGTCAGCCTCGGAAACTGCCCTGCGGGCACCGCCTCTGGCCTCTGGGCGCCTCCCTGTCCCCCTTTCATCCTCCACGAGGGACCTCCCGAGGAGTGTCAGCAGCATTGACGGTGGCCGTCACACCGCACCACGCGTTCGAACCGCTTGCTTGGCGGGCCTTGCACGCCTTCTCGCTGCGCCCCGCCCTGCGCGTTCGCCTCGCCACACGTGTACCTCAGCCATGAAACTTCGCGTGGAAGTGATGCGGGGGCTTTGCAGCCGCTGGGCAGCCACGAGAAAACAGACAGCGCTTCTCAAGATATCGCCGAGCTGGGCCACAGGCGAGACTGGATGCGGTGCACATGCGCCCTGGGGCCGAAGCGGCCTGTGTCGCGTTCTCCTCCTTCGGGGATGGACAGACCCCCCTTTAGTAACGTGGTTTAGTGAAAACGACCTGAGGCCCAAACCTGGCGGGCGCAAGCCTGGAAAATAACGGCCACGGCGCCCTCTCGAGAACCGAGAACGGACAATTCACTAATCGACGTGTCACTGTTGGGGGTTCTGTCCACCCCCGACTCCTGCGCCTGTCCTGGGAGCTCCGGCGGCGTGTCCTCGAGCGTCTCGACGAACGGTGTGTCGGCGGAGACGCCCGTCGCGGTGGAGGCCTCGGCTGCGGCGGCGCTCTGCAGCTGGACGGCTCCGGCGGGCGCCCCCAAGAGCAGGGCGGCAAGGAAGCAGGCGCGTGCCCGCGGCATCGCGTGGCAAGGCGGTACAACAGAAGGTGCGGAAGTTAGACGGACAAAAGCCTGGAGCCAAAACGGCTACGGAGAGCAACCAGCAACAAGCCAAGAGGGCCCTAAGAAGGCCCAAAGGAGCCCCACGCCAAGGGGCGAGCATATTTACGAGCGCACCACCGCGCTGGATGCGTAGCCGTCGGCTGGGCCAACCTAGCGAATGACGCATCGCGTGCCGGCTGGATGCCCGCGCCGAGCATAGCTCTTCTCGGTTCCTCCCTCTTCCTCCTCCTCCTCCTCCTCCTCCTCCTCCTCCTCCTCCTCCTCCTCCTCCTCCTCCTCCTCCTCCTCCTCCTCCCCCGCTAGCTTAGAACTGCCACCGAAATATCCTCATCCGCTGGCTTGAAACTGCCACCGAAATATCCTCACCCGCTGGCTTGAACCGCCGCCGGAATCTCCTCACCCGCTGGCTCAAGACTGCCACCGAAATATCCTCACCCGCTGGCTGAAGACTGCCACCGAAATATCCACACACGCGGAAATAAAACTGCCACCGAAATATCCTCACCCGCTGGCTTAGAACTGCCTTCGAAATATCCTCAACCGCAGAAATAAAACTGCCACCAAAATATCCTCGCTCGCTGGCTTAAGACTGCCACTGAAATATTTTCACCCGCTGGCTTAAAACTGCCACCGAAATATCCTCACCCGCGGAAATAAAACTGCAACCGAAATATCCAAATCCGCTTACCTAAGACTGCCACCGAAATATCCTAACACGCGAACATACAACTGCCACCGAAATATCCTCACCCGCTAGCTTAAGACTGCCACCAAAATGTCCTCACCCGCTGGCTTACGACTGCCACCGAAATATTCTCACCCGCTGGCTTAAGACTGCCACCGAAATATCCTCACACGCAGAACACAACTGCCACCGAAATATCCTCACCCGCTGGCTTAAGACTGCCACCGACATATCCTTACCCGCGGAAATACAACTGCCACCGGAACATCCTCACCTGCTGGCTTGAAACTGCCACCGAAATATCCTCACCCGCTGGCTTAAAACTGCCACCGAAATATCCTCACCCGCTGGCATAAAACTGCCACCGAAATATCCTCACCCGCTGGCTTAAAACTGCCACCGAAATATCCTCACCCGCTGGCTTAAAGCAGCCACCGAAATATCCACACCCGCTGGCTTAAAACTGCCACCGAAATATCCTCACCCGCAGAACACATCTGCCACCGAAATATCCTCACCCGCTGGCTTAAAAACTGCCACCGAAATATCCATCACACGCGGAAGAAAAACTGCCACCGAAATATCATCACCGCTGGATTGAAACTGCCACCGACATATCCTCACCCTCTGGCTTTAAAAACTATCACTCAAAATACCCTCACCCGCTGGCACAAAACTGCCACCGAAATATCCTCACCCGCTGGCTTAACACTGCCACCGAAATATCCTCACCCGCTGGCTTAAAACACCCACCGAAATATCCTTACCCGCGGAAGTAAAACTGCCACCGAAATAGTCTCACCCGCGGAAGAAAAACTGCCACTCGAAATGTCCTCACCTGCTGGCTTGAAACTGCCACCGAAATATCCTCACGGAAATCAAACTGCCACCGAAATATCCTCACCCGCTGGCTTAACACTGCCGCCGAAATATCCTCACTCGCGGAAAGAAACTGCCACCGAAATATCCTCACCCGCGGAAATAAAACTGCCACCGAAATATCCTCACCCGCTGGCTTACATCTGCCACCGAAATATCCTCACCCGCGGAAATAAAGCTGCTATGTAACGGCCTGATGGTTCAGTTCAGTCTGTCTGTCTGCCTACCTTGCGAGAATCAAATTACGGGCTGCGCCCGTAAAACACGACGGACAATTTCGGTCACCACGTCTCTCCGAAGATCGTCAAACATTCTGGAAGTCCCCGAAGCTTCCGGAAGTTCTCGTTGGCTCTCGGCGGTTGCCTCGCCTCGGGATTCGTTCCAGCGGCCGCGCCTCGTCGAGAGCGTTCCGGAGGTGTCAGAAACATCCCGAGCAACCGCCAGAGGCCCGAGTTATGATCTTAGCTGCCCCGATACGCTATACGCGACACGTAGCGTATTGATACGGAGCTCAACACGTGGACTGAAAACGTAGGTCCGACGCGATACGTTCGCCAAAACGTGGGCCAATACGTGGAGCCAACACGCAACGTATTGACACGGACGTCTTGAACACGGGACGTGTTGCGTGTCAAAACGGGCGTATCGAGGCAACTAAGGTGATGATCCGAAAACCACCACCCGAGCAACCGCCAGAGGCCCGAGCTACAAGCCTCGGAACAAATTAGCGAACACTCATGCCACATTCATCCGTCAACGCCTCCCCTCATCCCCCTCCCCCCAATGTTCATGCACTTCGACCGCAGTGTCCCCCGCGCGGTCCAACATTGAGTTTTGGGGGAGGGGGAGTGTTCAATAATTGTTTCCGATTACCGTATGCTCCGAAAGCCACCACCGCCAAAACGTGGGCCAATACGTGGAGCCAACACGCAACGTATTGACACGGACGTCTTGAACACGGGACGTGTTGCGCTTCAAAACGGGCGTATCGAGGCAACTGAGGTTATGCTCCGAAAACCACCACCGTCAACAGGAGCACGACGCAGGTCTTCGATCATGTCCCCCGCGCGCGCGCGCCAACATTGAGTTTGGGGGGGAGGGGGAATGTTCAGTAATTGTTCCCCTCTACCGTATGCTCCGAAAACCACCACCGTCAAAAGAAGCACGACGGCGGTGTTCGATCATGTCCTCGGCCCCAGGGGGGGCCTCGGCGGGCCCAGGGCTGGGAAGAGCCCGTCCCCGGGGAGAAGAGGCCCAGACCTCTGGGGAAGAGACCTGGACCTCTGGGGAAGAGGTCCAGACCTCTGGGGGAAGAGGCCTGGACCT